CCCTCTCCCCTACCCTCATGCTCCCAATTAGTTCAGGAGTTCATGCCACTTCCCATTCCTGGGGTCTATTTATCCCTTAGAGTCCTTCATGTTTCCTAGTTTCTTTGGTGAAGAGGATTATAGTCTATTAAACCTTTGCTCTTTGTCTAAAATTCATATATGAGGGAGTACATACCATGTTTGTCTTTTTGTGACTGGGTTACCTCACTCAGGGATGGTTTCTTCTAGTTCCATCCATTTGGCTGCGAATTTCAAGATTCCGTTTCTTTTTTCTGCTAAGTAGTACTCCATTGTATAAATGTACCACATTTTCTCTATCCATTCTTCAGTTGAGGGGCATCTAGGTTGCTTCCAGGTTCTGGCTATTACAAACAATGCTGCTATGAACATGGTTGAACATATGTCCTTGTTGTATGAACATGCACTATTTGGGTATATACCCAAGAGAGGAAGGGCTGGATCTTGAGGTAGATTGATTCCCATTTTTCTGAGCAACCGCCATACTGATTTCGAGTGGTCTTTAACACAATCCCGTGTGTGTTTTTTCAGACAACTGGTTCTCTCTCTCTTTATCTTAATCTCTGTCTCTCTGCCTCTCTCCAGTCCCCCATGAGCTGCAGGTTTTCCAAATAGCCCCTTTCCTTGGGCTGACATGCTCAGCTTATAGCTACCAGACATGCTATACCTCACAACTCACTGATATTGTCAGCAGATTTGATAAGAAAATTGACAATTCTTCTTTTGTTGTTTAGTTTTTGTTTTTTGGTTGGTTTTTGTTTCTTTGTTTTGTGTTGTTTTTCGAGACAGGGTGTCTCTGTATTGCTTTGGAACCTGTCCTGGAACTCAGTTTTTGACCAGGCTGGTCTCACAGAGAACCACCCACCTCTGCCTCCTGAGTGCTGGGATTAAAGATGTGTGCCACCAATACCGAGTGAAAACTGGGAATTCTTGAAGCAAGGAATTACTTAAAAGAGAGAGTATTTTACCCACATAAAAATGGGAAATACTATGACAATGGAGCATTATAGCTCTTCAGCTCATCATTCAAGACTGAGGCACCATAGTAATCTTAACAGTCTTCCAGACTTTCCCCTGTATTCAGGATGCAATTCAGAGAATTCTTCCCAGTATCCTTTTCATGAGGAATCTTCCACTCAGAACCTGCTTGTCAGGGAGATGAACCGGTAGGCCACCACTTCCTTAATGATCACTAGGTTTCTTGTTAAACATGCAAACGACTGGTGTTTATCTCATGCCTATGAATTAGAAATCTAGAATTACAGGTTGAGAATCTTCTGTATTATTAAAAAAAGCACCCCAGAAAATTATTTTTCTCATTACAGTGGCACTGACAATGACAGTTGTAATTATCTTGATTATATATAAAATTGAAGTGCTGAAATGTAGAGGGGAAATGCTGGAAGAATTCCAAAACCTCATGTAGGCTTTTGTTTCAAAGTCATTTACTTGAAAGTATAAAAATATCTGCACATGAGCTCCATAAAGCACTAACAAAGAAACCACGGGCATAAACAAGGATTCTAAGTTTATAGATCACAGGATGTCTGGGTACAACTACAGGAATTAAAATACTTAATTTAATAATTGTAAGGACTCAGAGTCAGCACAAAATAGCAAACACTCTATATCTACAAGACCCCAAAATAAGCAGTGATACAAACTTTTATATTGTTATTCTTAGATGAATGTTGCTTTTTCTGGGTTCTCTATGAATATGACTTCAAGGTCAGGGGCTGGAGCCTGGGCCTCTCTCCTTTCCAGCCTGCCTGTGTTTATCTACCTATATGTCCATGTGTCTCCCTCCTTCTAGTATGTGTGCTGTTCTATATGTGTACTTGGGTGTCTGCTGATATCTGCCTACATAGTGGCCATCACCCCCAGTAAATAGAGTATGTCTTATTTTCTGTCAGCTTCTCATAATCTCTTCTGTAAAGACTGATTACTGGCTGTGAATATGTGTTTCTCTCATTGGTTGATAAATAAATGCTGATTGGCCAGTAGCCAGGCAGGAAGTATACACATTGCTACCAGAGGAGAATTCTGGGAAGAGGAAGGCAGAGGAGGAGCCACCAGAGAGAGGTCATGTAGCAGCCGAGAAGATAGGATTGCCAGCATTCTCCGGTAAGCCAAGACCACATTGAATAGAAACTGGTTAAAAAATAAGAGAGAGAGAGAAAAAGAGAGAGAGAGAGAGAGAGAGAGAGAGAGAGAGAGAGAGAGAGAGAGAGAGAGAGAGAGAGTAAGAATCCCGTACCATCAGCCAAAATGTTTATAATTAATATAAGCCTATGCATGTTTACTTGGGATTAAATGGCTGCAAGACAAGGTAGAACAGAAACTCTTGTCTACAATTTCCTTTCAGTTGAACTTGACACCTGGATGGCTAATCTCCCCAGCAGAGAGCAGACCCAGCTACACTGAAAGATACCCAGAGTAAATACAAACTCATATACTTGAATGCTTGGTTCTTGGTTTGTGGTGTACTTTAGAGAGGTGTAGGATATATAGACTTTATGGAGAATGTATGTCATTAGGGGAAGGCTTTTCAAGTTAATGACTGAAGGGCTCAGGCCCTCAATTAGACAATTCTGCAGCCATGGCAGGCTGCAGAAAAGACACAACATGATATAGACCCCTGACTTAGGAAGATGTTCTGTGTCCCTGACCTTGCCCTAATTACTGAAAAAACCCACAAGATTTCACTCGTATGGTAAAGAAGAAATCAGAATCTATCTTTACCTCTTGCCCCTCAGACAATGGTTCAATTTTTTCTGATTCTTCCTGTTATTCTAGGGTATGTATTCATATCTGAAGATTTGGCATGGGGAATTTAAAATGAAAGTGATCATGTGATATTTGTTTTTATGAATTTGAGTTACCTTTCCCAGTATGATATTTTTTACTTAATTGCAAATTTCAGGATTTCCTATTTTCCTTATTGCTGAAAATTATATATATATATATATATATATATATATATATATATATATATATCACAATGCCATTATCCATTTGTCAGTTTAATGATATTAAGTTGTTTTCATTTCCTAACTATTGTGAATATAGTAACAAAGAATCTTCACTTAATGAGGGTTTCTAGTCACAATAGCCTCAAAGAAAATAAAATATTTAGGAATGTATTTAACTAAGATATTGAAGGACTTCTATGTGGGGATTCATGGAATTGCCATGTTCTTGCTATCTTGAGGGGCATGCATCATAGGTTTGTTAGTTTAGAGACAATGGTTCCTTGGGCAATATGTGACTTTTAGTTCCCAAGAAAGCAAGGTATTCTTTCAGGTCATGCAGCATTCATGCTTCCTGTATCTCTGTGTTGTCTAGAAGTCATAAAAGCATATAGAACCTTATCTGGACAATTAGTCTGAAACATTAATTTTGTCTACCCAGCATACCTTGCAAAAACTTCACTGTATTCCAATGTATTGATCCTGGCAATTGCCATTGTATTCTGTTTCTGTTAAGAGTATAAAATGTTGTAATGCTTACAATAAACTTGCTTAAGCCTCAGTTATGCTGAGATCCCTTCATGCTGGCTTTATTTTCATTCCCACCTACCATATTCAGGCAACCCTGGTATGGTGAGTACGAACCGTCACTTATATTTTTACAATGAAAAATTTAAACCACTGAAGAAAAATATAGGAAGATACTAACTAATGCAAAGACATCCCATGCTCACAGATTAGTAGAATGAAAACTGCAAAAATTGCTTATTTTAGCAAAAGCTATTTACAGATTCTGTCACAAAACCCCAACCTCATTCTTCACAGATATAGAAACAACTCTCCCAAAATTTTTATGGACCCACAAAATCCTGGATACCCAAAACAAATTGTAAACCAAAAGAATAATGATGGAATAATTACCATTCCAGAATTTTTTATTTCAAGATAAATTACTTCACACACAAAAACATATGGTAGTTACAGAAAAACAGACATATTGAACAATGTGAAAGACCAAAACATGAATAGATGTAATAACAGTCATCTAATATTTGACAAGGAGGCCAAAAACGTTAAGTGGGAGAAAAGAAACCACCTTTAACAATCATGCTGTGAAAACTGCATGCTTATATTAAGAAAATGAAATTAGAGCTGTATTTATTACCTTGGAAAAAATTTAACTACAAATGGACCAAAGAAATAAATGTGAAATCAGAAAATGTTAAAGAAAATATACTCACTAGTATGCATGTATACAAGGCCTTTCTGAATAGGATTCCATTTGCTCAAAATTTCAAACAATAATTTGAAACAATATTGTTTCAAAACAATAGACATGGGAGGTTATGAAACTAAAAAACTTCTACACTCCAAAAAAAAAAAAAAAAAAGGAATGAACTGGATGAGAAAGATAGAACAGAATTTTTTCCAGCTGGACATTTGACAGAGGATTAATATCCAGAATATATAAAGTATGCCAAAAAATCAATGGGACTAGTATTTATTCCTGGTGCATGAACTTCCTTTTTGGAGCCCATCCCCTATGATGGGATAACTCTGCCTTGATGCAGGAGACTTGTTTCTTTCTCAACTTAATATGCCAGGCTTAGTTGAATCCCCATGGGAGGCCTTACTCTCTCTGAGGATTGGGTGGGGGTGGGGGAGTAGGAAGAGAGCCAGGAATGGAGGGAGAGTGAACTGTGGTTGGTATGTATGAATAAAAAGTAAAAAGAAAAAACAACAGCCAAATAAACAAATATTTCATTCAATAAATGGGCCTGGGTCCTAAAGAAGGAGATTCTCAGAGAATGAAAATTAATGACCAAGAAATATCTCAAAAATGTTATTATCCCTATCAATTAGGGACATGCATCATTAGGATGATAACAATTGTGAGATTTCATTTTACCCAAGTCACAATGGCAAGGATGAACAATAACAAAGGCTTAAAAAGGATGTGGGGAAAAGTTTTTCTAAATACACCTGTTCTTTAACTTTTTCAATCCACATCTGAAAGATTGGCATGTTAAATCCTAAAGACTGAATACAGCTAAGGCCTTTAAATACATAACTGCACATTACATCGAATGCTAATATCTTCAGGCCAAATTTTCACTTCTGTTGTATTTCTAAATTTTGTCCAGTCATATTAGTATTATCAATTTGTTAAGAGAATTCCAATAATATTCAACAACATCTTTTAAAAGTCAAATTTGAAGCAAGCTTTAATTAATACTGTCAGGGTCAATTGGCTTTGGCCAGGGCCATCTCTGGGTTTCTTGGAAATGGTCAATATTCCACAGCTTTAATATGCCCTAATATTTGACCTGAAAGCTTCTAATATCAAATTATAACAAAGCCTTTAACTCAAAAGAATAAATGCCCATGAAATTACTATACATTTTTCTAAAAGATATAGCTTTGAGTTTCAATTTGAAATTAAATGTAGATTTTAATCAGTGGCATAATCACCACTTTAGATTCATCATACATCCCCTGCCAACTCTCCCTTCTATGATATTGCTTGGATAAAATAATTCAAAATAAAATGTTCGAATGGTAATTACCATCAGATATTTTAAATTAGATATTTTGGTTATTTCTTCTTCCTGAGAATGAGTTTAACAGCATGCAATAATTTTTAGAAAATTATACTTTCTTCTCTGTTTAACTTTCCTTTCTTGAAAATGTACTTATCTTTATTAGTGGGCAACACTGTAAGAAAAAAAGGAGACGTTATTTTTAAAGTATGTTTTACAGACTTTATTGTTATAAATCAAAATTGAAGTAAATATCATGGATTTTTTATCTTCTATAATGAAATAACACCAAGAGAAAATTTTAGGCAAGAGTTGCAAGGAAATTACTGCCAGCAAGGATTGTTATAAACAATGAAGGAGAATGAAGTTAGATCAAATTTAACACATTCCATCAACAATGCATTTTTGCCAACTTCTGGATTTCAACCCATCTCCTCACCTCAAATTGGGCTTTTCATAGTTAAATGTTTTCTACTTCTTAGATGTTGAAGTAATCCTGATAAATCAGCAAGCAAACAAACACAACCAACCTTAAACTTAACCAAAACCAACCAAAACTTAACATAAACCAACCAAGCACTGATGGCTTGTTCTAGAATGCTAAACCACAATAACGTTAATTTTGATGTAAAATATATCCTCATCTGCAGTGATATATTTGCCTCCTCACCTGTAGCAGTGTGTGTTTACAGGTGCGAACTTGACCAGATAAATGGAAAGGATCAGGGCTCAGAAGGCCCCCATCAAGTCGTGGAGAGCATCTGGGAGTCGGGTCTGCATCCTTGTGTAAATTCTTCCCACAAATAAATGGCATCTATTATTCTACCGAGTCTGGTTAATTCATTACTAACCACCTATACCAGGCACCCAACCCAGTCAGGTGGGTTCCTGTGACCACCTCATGTGGCTGGCTACCACCCATGGCTTTTGTGCATTAAGGAGGCTGCTGGGTTTGCCGCAGCCTGGGCCAGGGGAGGCCAGTGCTTCTCTGTATCCTCTGCATGCTGTGGATTTGTGACAGCACTTTTCTTTGCTCTTGAATCTGCTTAAGGTTTGTGTGGGCCTCACACAGCACATTCGTATTGCCGCGGTAGCCACTTAGCTCCTGCACCTCACACAAGCTGCGTCCTTCATCTTCTTTCTAACAAAATTTCATTCTTTTGACTTTGTTGGGAGTAGCTTAGAATTCACAGATTGTAACAAATCAGAAACAAAAGCGAAACAGAGGGAAGCAGTCGGCCTCTGGACTCAATTTGGCAGTACACCTGCGGCACCTGCTGGCCAATCCTAGTTACTACAAGTTGAGACCAACCCGCAAAAGAGAGGACCTATATTCCAGTACTCCAGGATTCTACTTAAGGAAAAGAAAAAAGAAAAGAAAAGAAAAGAAAAGAAAAGAAAAGAGGAGAAGAGAAGAGAAGAGAAGAGAAAAGAAAAGAAAAGAGAAAAGAAGAGAGGAGGGGAGGGGAGGGAAGGGGTGGGGAGGGGAGGGGAGAGGAGAGGAGAGGAGAGGAGAGGAGAGGAGAGGAGAGGAGAGGAGAGGAGAGGAGAGGAGAGGAGAGGAGAGGAGAGGAGAGGAGAGGAGAGGAGAGGAGAGGAGAGGAGAGGAGAGGAGAGGAGAGGAGAGGAGAGGAGAGGAGAGGAGAGGAGAGGAGAGGAGAGGAGAGGAGAGGAGAGGAGAGGAGAGGAGAGGAGAGGAGAGGAGAGGAGAGGAGAGGAGAGGAGAGGAGAGGAGAGGAGAGGAGAGGAGAGGAGAGGAGAGGAGAGGAGAGGAGAGGAGAGGAGAGGAGAGGAGAGGAGAGGAGAGGAGAGGAGAGGAGAGGAGAGGAGAGGAGAGGAGAGGAGAGGAGAGGAGAGGAGAGGAGAGGAGAGGAGAGGAGAGGAGAGGAGAGGAGAGGAGAGGAGAGGAGAGGAGAGGAGAGGAGAGGAGAGGAGAGGAGAGGAGAGGAGAGGAGAGGAGAGGAGAGGAGAGGAGAGGAGAGGAGAGGAGAGGAGAGGAGAGGAGAGGAGAGGAGAGGAGAGGAGAGGAGAGGAGAGGAGAGGAGAGGAGAGGAGAGGAGAGGAGAGGAGAGGAGAGGAGAGGAGAGGAGAGGAGAGGAGAGGAGAGGAGAGGAGAGGAGAGGAGAGGAGAGGAGAGGAGAGGAGAGGAGAGGAGAGGAGAGGAGAGGAGAGGAGAGGAGAGGAGAGGAGAGGAGAGGAGAGGAGAGGAGAGGAGAGGAGAGGAGAGGAGAGGAGAGGAGAGAAAAGAGAAAGAAAGAAAGAAAGAAAGAAAGAAAGAAAGAAAGAAAGGGAAGGGAAAAAAGGAAGGAAAGAAGAAAGAAAGAAAGAAAGAAAGAAAAGGAATGAAGGAAGGAAGAAAGAAAGAGAAGGAAGGCAGGAAGGAGGGAAGGAAGGAAAGAGGAAGGAAGGAAGGGATATCTTTTGCAATTTAGGCTAAAAAATAAACAAAATTAACTACATACAAAAGGCAGATAATATTACTATGCAGGAAGTTAAAAATCTTTTTGTTTCTTATATGGATGGGATTTTAGAGAGGCTTACAACATAACTGGAATATATTTATTATCCATGGTGGCTAATAGCTTCATAATCCATATAATATCATTAAAGAAATGGGTTGACAATACATCAAAGAATAAGTAAGTTATAGAAACCATACAGTATTTACAGACTAACAATGAGATCTTAGAAAAAAGGATTCAGAACATTGAAAACCACAACGGTGATTCGACAAACTGGATGCAAAAAATGGAACATAAGATCGAAATCCTAACAGAAAAAAGTTGTTCCACGTCTGAGAATAATGACAAGCAGCAGATACAGGATTGGAAGGCAAATTACATGCCACTCAGATGATTTGTAAGAATGAGAATATTAAATCTTTAGAATCATATAGAAATGAAGAGAACAAGAATCTGACTGATTTAATGAAATCCTTAGATGTATACTGTCCAGGAAATTTAAACACTGAGAGAAACAATGGTGAAGAGATTAAAGGCCATAGAAGGCCTGAAATCTGGGAAGTTGCCCCCTGGTCTAAGGTACATGGCTCCCTTGATGCCCCTCAGCTCAGTGCCTGAAGCTCCTGCCTTCTTCTGACAATGCCTCAGGGCCAGTACTCGGGCCTCTCACTGACTCTGCTCAGGGCCAGTACTCAGGCCTCTCACTGACTCTGCTCAGGTCCTGAAGTTTCGGCCTTCCTCTGAGGCTGCTTGGGTCTAAAGTTAGAACCTACCACCGACACTACTCCCGGGTCTGAGACTTGTGGCTCCCTCAACACTGCTCCAGCCTGAAGCTCCAGCCTTCTAAGACTCTGCCTCTGAATTGGGATTCAGACCTTTCACTGAGGCTTCTTGGTGCATGAAGCACTGTCTTCCCTCTGAGGCTAAGATCAGTTAGGTAATATTGAAAAGAAAACCAGTCTCAGCCACCTGAGGCTTGGGGAATGCCCACTGGGGAACCCATCCCAGTGAGCCAGCCCACCCAGAGACTGCCAAGGCCCCAGTACTAGTCCCACTTCCACCCATGGGAAGAAGAGAGTCATCGGAGTATTAGACCTGCTTGCACCCACCAGAAAGGAACCTTGGATCTGTACCCACCAGGAGACTCCTCCTACAACCACTGAAAGAAGTGATGGAAGAATACAACATAAAAACACATTCAACAACAGAAAAACCAATGTGACAAAACCAGAGTCTAGGGACTCTACACCAGCAAAACCTGAACACCCCAACACAGATGGAGGAGAATAGAATGACCTTAAAAAGAACTTCATGAAAATGACAGAGGTCCTCAAAGAGGATATGAGAAATCCCTTAAAGAAATGGAAGAAAAAAATCAAACCAAAAAATACAAGAAATCAACAAATCCCTTAAAGAAAGCAAGGAAAGCTAAAAAACAATCAAACAGATGAAAGAAACAATTCAAACAGTTAAAGTCTGTTTGAATGAAAACTACAATAGAGACAATAAAGAAAACACAAACTGAAGGAATGCTGGAAACCGAAAATAAGGGTAAAGGATCAGGAACTACAGATGCAAACATAAACAACAGAATACAAGACATGGAAGACATAATCTCAGGGGTTGAAGATACACTAGGAGAAATAGATTCATCGAACAAAGAAAACCTTAAATCCAACAAATCCCTAAACACAAAATATAGAGGAAATATGAGACACTGTGAAGAGATGAAACCTGAGAACAATAGATATAGAAGAGGGTGGAGAAACCCAACTCAAAGGTACAGAAAGCATATCAAACAAAATAGTAGAAGAAAACTTTCCCTACCTAGAGAAAGACCTGACAATGAAAGTACAAGAAGCTTACAGAACAACAAATAGACTGGACCACAAAAATATGTCCCTCACCGCACAATAATCAAAACCCCAAACATACGGAATGAAGAAAGAATATTAAGAACAGCTAAGGAAAAAAGACCAAGTAACGTATAAAGGTAAACCTATCCGAATTACACCCGAATTCTCCATAGAAACTCTGAAAGCCAGAAGATGCTGGATAGATAGTCAAACAACATTAAGAGACCATGCATACCAGCCCAGACTACTATAACCAGCAAAGCTTTCAATCACTATAGAAAACAAGAAATTCCATGACAAAACCAGAATCAAACAATACATATCCACAAATCCAGCCCTACAGAAAGTTCTGGAAGGAAAACTCCAACCCAAGAAAGTTAACTACAACCAGAAAAATATAGGCAATAGATAACCCCACTTTACCAACAGCCAAAAGAAAAAAGGGGTGGAAATCCACACACAATTCCAACAACAACAAATCCAAAACAAAAAGGAATGAACAATCAGTGGTCATTAATATCCCTCGATTTTAATGGTCTTCCTTCTGCTGCATACAAGAAACACACCTCAATTTCAAAGACAGAGAGTACCTCAGAATTAAGGGTAAGGAAAAGATTTTCCACTCAAATGGACCCAAGAAACAAGCAGGTGTAGCAATCCTAATATGTAACAAATTAGACTTTAAACAAAAAGTAATCAAAAGAGATGAATGAGGTCATTTCATATTCAAACAGGAGAAATCCATCAAAATGAAGTCTCAATTCTGAACATCTATGCCCCAAATACAAAGGCATCTACATTTGTAAGAGAAACATTAATAAAACTCAAATAACATATAAAACCTCACACACTTATAATGGGAGACTTCAACACCCCACTCAAACCACTAGACAGGATAACCAATGGGAAATTTAACAAAGAAACTCAAGAAACTGATAGAAGTTATGACCCAGTTGGGTTTAACAGACATCTGTAGAACATTCCATCCAAACATAAAAGAATATACCTTCTTCTCAGCACCACATAGAACCTTCTCTATTATCAACCACATACTTGGCAACATAGCAAACCTCAACAGGTACACAAAAATGAATACCCCTTGTATCTTATCAAACCACCATGCTTTAAATTTAGAATTCAACAACAGCACAAACTGCAGAAAACCTGCAAACCCATGGAAGTTAAACAATGTGCAATTGCACCATTTCTGGGTCAAGGAAGAAACAAGAAAAAGAGATTAAACACTTCCGAGAATTCAAAGAGAATAAAGACACAAAATACAAAAACTTATGGGACACTTTGAAAGCAGTGCTAAGAGAAAAGTTCATAGCATTAATTGCCCACATGAAGAAATGTGAGAACAGTCGCATTAGAGAGTTAACAGCACAACTGAAAGCTCTAGAACAAAAAGAAGCAAACTCACTCCGGAGGAGGAGACACCAGGAAATAATCAAATTGAGGGTAGAAATCAATCAAGTAGAAATGAGGAAAACAATACAAAGAATCAATGTAACAAAGAGTTGGTTCTTCAAGAAAATCAACAAGATAGACAAACCTTTATCCAAACTTATCAAAAGGCAGAGAGTGAACATGCAAATTAATAAAATCAGAAATGAAAAGGGGGACATAACAGGTGACAATGAGGAAACCCAGAGAATTATTAGGTCATACTTTGAAAACCTCTTAATCACTTATCTGGGTCCTGTGGACTTTTTTAAACATGCCTTCACTCCACTTTCTCTTTGTGTAAAATTAATTAATAAAACTGAATGCTAAGATATTTCCCCCAATGTACCCACTCCCCATTTCTGTTGAATTAAATTTGCCCTACATTTGGATTTGGATTTCTATTATAAAAGCATAAACTGTTGTTATTGTTTCCTGAATAACCATGCCAATTTCAAA